ACTATGGTTTTAGACATTGCCACCAAATGATGTTGCTTATTAAATGCAGGCATGGAGTTCTGATAGGTGAAAACTCATAAGGGAATTCATATCACACTAGAGGAATATTTCTTCCATGGCCTAGAAGCCTATGTGCTAGCATCTTTTCTTCAGTTTAAAACATAAAAGGTAAATCTTTATATGACGTCCTCCCACCCCCACGAAGATGCTTTGAATATGAGGGAACAGTCGCTGCTTCACTGATTCTCTTGCAAATGATCTATCTCTTCTGCATTTCTACCCTTGCTCAGAGGGTTAACTGAAAATATACGCATCAAAAAACTTGCTTAAAAGAGGCATAGCCCTTGGATTGGTGAACAGGAACTGTGTACCAGATCTACACTTCCTGCCTGTTAAAGTACTGCACTTTAAAAAATAAGCTACAATGTATAAAACAAAGGTCATTTCCCACAAAGTGTTCATGTTCTCTGCGATTATAAAACACGGTATCTTGTAAAATATTTCCAGTTCTGTTAAACTTGAGAAGTTAAGTACTAATGCTTATTATAAAAGTGTCATGTCTCTTGCAGAAGCCTAAGCAGTATATTCCTTTCATTTGGAAATTTAAGTTGTAATTATTATTGTATTTTAAGATTAGATTTACCATAACACATTACCATTGTGATTCTCAGACACACACAACAAAAGTTATAAAACATGAGATTGTCTTAGGAAAAAAAGGAGCTATTTACAAAACAGGACAGGAGATAAAATCCCGTTTTGATTCCTGGTCCTGTGATAGGTACACTCTTTAAAGCATGTGTATCTTCAGAAATGGGCCTTTTCCAAGTCCATCATCAGAAGCCAGTCTTGAGTACTCTTCACTCTTCCTTGCTCCAGTTCCTTGCTCTGCTGGAGCACAGTTACTCCGGACAACTGGGATCTAAAAGTGCTAACCCCACTTTATGGACTAACTTCCCATGGCTACTTACAATTCGGAAAAGACAGGATGAAATGGTTGTAACAGGAGGAATCCCTATGGGCAGGAGGATCGGGGCACCTGTGTGCTGCTGGTAGGTTTCTTTCTTACAGAAATCAAATTGCCAGTGAACTCATGTGTCTAACATGCCCTTCAAAATGACCCAAAATGACCCACGCCTCCAACTCTATCTGTCATACTGACAGGCCATGCCGGTTCCACTCATCTGCATGGATTCACACAGGTCAATGCTACAGCTGATGTGGGTGGTGGAAATCCTACGGATGTGAGAAAAGGCAGCACCTTGTCCATAGAGTCCACGGCAGTGTGCTCCTGAACATGCCACTAAAGCAAACCACACGTTGTGGACAGCTTTCTTCCGCTTAGAGGATGCTGTGTATAGCTAATGAACAGTTGCCCAAACCGAGAGATTACAGCAAGGAAGAGCAAGGCTTTTTGTTCACAATTACATTCAGAGGAAGCCTCACCATGTCTATGAATACCCAGCAGGCTCTGTGCCTGTGGCTCAAACATCAGTCAGCTTTAGGTCAGCTACAAAGAGACAGTTATGCATGGGGTACTTCTGCCACACCTCACGGAAGTTGCCTGCCTGTCTAGTTGACATGGGTTTGTCTTGAAATGATACTAAGAGTTTACATAAAGAAAAACTTGTTCTGACAGAAAAGACTTGAGGTGATAAAAATCTTCCTAGTCTTGGGGTTCTCCAGATCTCTTCCCACATCATCCTTGTTTCCCTGAGGAAGTGAGTAGTATTTACAGTGTTCTGCTACTACGCTCAACAGATTCCTGTATGTACAGTTCTCACTTCTTTTCTTAGAACCTTCTCCAGTGAATGCCACCTTGGTCTTGCAGTACAGCTGAAGTGGGAGATGAAATGGACTCTTACAGGGCTTGCTCGCTTCAAGCCCAGGGCTTCTGGCGAAAGTGTGATGAAACTCGGATACCAGAGGTGGCAGACTCCAACACACATCAGCTTGAATTGCAGTGGGGGACAGTTTGGCTTCAATTTATTTCCAACATACACGTGCCCATCTCTGAAGATATTTTTGGAGATCCCAACACCAGTGCTGTTCTCTACAGATGGTGTTCATGTGCAGTTTGGCCACAGGAGCGAGGAGTTTCCTCATAAGGGAATCTCCTGGACATAGTGCTGTTAGTGGGCACTACGGGCCCACTCTGGCTCGGAAACCCATTGTTTTCTTCCTGGTGTTGGTTTTTGCCAATCTAGAGAACCTAACTTCCCAGACATAAGGTGGCAGGTGAGCCTGATGGTCAGTTCCTGGCTGTCTTGTTTTGGACGTCTGCAGCAGAAATGGAGGACTGCTGGCTGAGCAGCCTAAGAAGATGAGCAGATGAGGTCTCCTGCGTGGCCCCCTTGACACATATGCTGAGGGTTTTCTCAATGTTGTCTCACCAACTTTCACAAACTAAGCGTCAATATTCTGGGAAGGCTAACTATTGCCTGTTGTACACATAGCTTTCTAGCTGGCTAGAGGACGGACAAAAATTCATTACATCACTGCTCCTTTTCCAGTCAGGGCTAATAGCTCTGGGGGTGCACAGAGCCTCAGACTAGCAGCAAGCTTGCCCAGCCATCGCTCGCACTTTCCTTCTCTGTTTCTCCACAAAATGAAGACACAAGAAGAACTTAGTTTCACGGAGATGGCATGAAAAGTCAGGCTTCATTTGGCACTTAGTTTGGTTCCCCAAATAACAAAATAACTACTTAAAAAAATGTAACTCATAAAAAAAGGTAACCCATACAATCGGTAGGCAATTCAGAGCTTTCTGGTCCCCTGGGATTAGACCCTTCGACACAGGGACTAGGCATACTGTCCAGAACTGTACTCAGGATTTGTCTGCACCTTGGAAGCTGGATAAGAAAAGAGACAGTGCCTAGGACTGGCCTGTAGACTAGGGCCCCTAGGCAGGGCTGGGAATGCACAGGAGCTGGCATGATGAAGGCTTTCAGAAAATGAGGACTCCAGGTCAGGTGCATTTGGTGTCATGTCTGTGCTGGCAATAGGCACAGTTAAGCGGCTCGGCTCGCCCTTCGACTGGGTTTGTGGGGAGATAGCTCAGTGCATCAGGACTGCTCCCATGCAGAGAGCACTCCTTCATCCCCAAGTTCTTCAAGAGGAGATGGATTTAATTTCACATCACTTTAATATTTTGGTTAATCTTCATCTGTGATTAAAAAAAATTGAAGGGAGTTTTGCTGAGGAGACAACCCTCTAGCCTAGGATCCATCTATTATTTAAGCACATGGTGAACTTGACCGTCACTGACAGAGACAATCTACGCGTTCTAGGGCCTCTGGGAGCAGCTAGAACACTGTTTCGGGGCAGTGCAGCTACAGGAGACAGGAGAGATGACATGCCCAGGGGAAAGACTCTAGCTCTGGACTTTAAAAACAAAATGCTGTTTTCTGGTTTCAGGTCAAAATGTCTGGAACAGGCAGTATGGCTGATGTTGATTATCAATCTATGGGGAATCAGATAAAGCTTTCTCTTTTCTCTTGAAACGAGTGTTTTGTTTTTCTTTTAAGAAGTCAAAGGAAAAGATCAGGATCTCTTTTCTGTTTTCCTTGATTTCTGTGATAAAAAGCCACATGAATTTAAAAAATAAAATTGCCCGCACCAGTTACGGGTGTTCTGCCATAGAACCTCCATATATACCCCATACATAAAAAGAGGCGTCTCTGATTCCTAAATGATTCTCTCTACTCTGTAAAAAAGCACTATGTACAATCCTTAAACATATATTAAGCTTTCCTCTGTGCAATGTCATTTAACATTCATATGGCTGACACTGTGTTCCCATCCCTACCCGGTGGCTCCTATAAGGTGCTCTTACCATGCATAGGCTCAGACCCTCAGCTCCCTTAAGCAGGGCAGACAGAGAAGATGCGCCCTCACAAGGTTTGATGGCTGCTGCAAGCTCTAACCCTCAAACAGCCAAGTCCCCCAGCAGAGACATCCTGCCAGCTGGTACCCAGCATAAGCCCTGGCCCTAGTGAATGGAGAGAGTCCTATACAAGATGCATTTGCCTTTGGGCATCCTGTAAGTTCGTTTCTGAGCAAATTCTTAATTCATAGTTCCAATATTTTCCAATATTCCAACAAAGTTTAGCTTTCCATTATCTATATATGTCACCGAGCCCACCAAGTCACCCCCTAGCTGGGTAAAGCATGCCATCTGGAAAAGTGCACTCACAATGGAGGCTGGCTTGTAGCCCCAGGGGGTCTTTCCCAGACAGGGGCATGTCAGCTGTGCTCTGCAAACCTGCTGGCCAGTCTGGAGTTTTCTACCTGGGCGGAGTTGGAGAGCAGGATGCTAACCCAGGGTCCTGGCTACCGTCTTGGCGGGACCAAGCAGGGCACACTATCCAAGCTGTAGTATGTGTGATATCCCTGAAAGAAGCATCAAGGCTTACCAGACTGCTACTGGTGCCAGCTCTCATCTGAGCCGTGGCAGGCAGAGACATAGTGGTGCCACCACTTGGGATCCAAGGACGAGTCCCAGATGCTTTCTGCAGTGCCTCTTGGTCTCCTGCCTTCAGGAGATGGCGGAAGTGGCCCCATGGCCAGTCACCTTGGCTTTATGTTACCCAGGGCCTCCAAGCTAACATCTTTACAATGGTTCCACTTAGGGTCCTTCTTGAAAATAAAACAGAGATAGAAAAGCTCTGTTTTGAAATACATCATGATCCGGACTGCTTCAAGGAGTCGGACAGAAAACAGGGAAATGCCTATTCACAAGGTAAGTACTATCTTTATACAGATGCTACCTCATAATGGATAGCTTATGGGGGTGTTGTGTAGCTTATGGGCATATTGTTTTCAGTGTCAAAATCCCGTGAAAATGCCACAGTTCAGAAGGCTTATCAGAACCTGCCTTCTCTCTGGGTAAAATGGGCCTGGATGGCTAAGCTGCTACAGAGGACCAGCTTTAAGACCAGACAGGGCGCAGAGGAAGCTGGCTTTTCCTTCAAAGGAAAACGTCCTTCTTGGTGCTCTTGCCTGGTTCTCAGAGCTGATTTTTTTGCCTTTATTTTTTGCTTTAATTCCACCAAGGAATTATATTCCTGGAATTCCAGGAAGGGCCTTCCCTGGGCCTTTGGAAGGAAGGAGAGGCAGGAATGGCTCAGTCGATGAACCGCTGGCAGGCCTTCTTCCAGCGGCAGGCAGTGCACCACATGTCCCTGTTTTCCATCCCATAAACCTTGCGGCACTTTTTGCCTTCTCCTCTGGGCTTCCTGTAAGAAAGACAGCACCAGACAGGTTTAGGGACAGGAACTGGGTGGCCTTCTGGGGAGACTTCAAAAGAATAAGGGGGGAAACAGAAGACAAACCCCACCCAGAATGGGGTAGGAGTTCTCTGTAGGGCTGGGTATTTCTCTGGCCACTGTACTTAAGCTGTTCTAAATCCCATTCATGGAAATATTTCCTTGTCTATGTTGTAAGAGGAAGGAGGTAACCGTAAGAGATGAGGACTGTGGAGGGAACCTGGAGCTGCACCTGCTCATCATGCAGGAGGACACTGGAACCTATATGGAACTGGACATGATGGCATGTGTCTGCAATTGCCTGTAATCTCAGTGTTTATACAGCAAGCTGGGAGGGGACAGAGATCCTTGCAAGCTCTTGGACCAGCTTGCCTGCAGCGAGTGAGCAAGACACCCGCCAAGACAAACTACTGAGTTATCTTCAGACTTGCACATGTGTACCCCACCCCAGCATGCACCCATACTCATTTTCTGTTCCTGCTCCCAAATACCCTGCCTAAGACAAAACAAGCAAACAACAACAAAAATACACAAAACACACAACAGCAGAGAACAACATTCTCTTCCAAATTTTCAGTGTGTTTTTCCAGTGTTCAGAATTCTGGTTGAGGCTTCCTGGGAGACTCCTGGATAGAGACTAAAACTAACTTATCGTTCATGTCATACAGAAGTAAGTGCAGGAGAGTGATTACTGCTATCTATCCTATAAACTACAAGTGCCCTTAACTAGTTACTGGACAGGCGATCACGGGAAGGAAGGATGACGTTTTACAGTGGGTCATACTCTGCCTCCGTTTTTGCTATTTCTGTTTCTTAGGAAATCCCTTTGAGGTGAAGCAGACAGCATCAAGTAGCCATACCTTAGAGTGATTGTCCCTCGGGGTGGGGAGGACAGGGTCGTATGGGTGTGCTGTCTCTGCTCTCCTGAGCCTGGTGCATGATGATGTGTTGGAGACACCTAGGAAACAAGGACAGTCAGGTTGATGGAGCAGATCCTTTCCTCCTCTCCTTGAGTGTAAAACCCAAAGCGGAAAGGTTCTTTTCTCAACGGCAGAGCTGAAATGGATGTCAAGGTTAAATGGCAGGGTTAGGAACTCTGGAGCAGAGAATATAAAGGGCTTGCAGCTGGTACGAGATAGCTATGCTGACCAGCTAGGACTTGTGCCAATTAACGTGTGCTGTTTAACTCACCTCAGACCCCAGAGAGTGGGGAGGGGGCATGCTCCTGCTGCTGGCAACATTTCGCTCATTGCCATCATCTTCCACACTCCCACAGAAAAGCCTGTTAAGTCCTGAGCAAACAATGGCTTTTCCAAACACTGCCACAGTCATACCCTGCAAACATGGCCAGGTCTATTCCAGTCATAGCGCACTCTCTTGTGCCACCACTGTGTGGACGCAGGGACAGAACCCTGGCTTGTCAAGCTTGGGCAGCAGCAAGGTATTTACCCTTGGAGCCTTCTCACCAGCCTTCTCACCAGCCTGCTCTCTGCATTCCAGCTTTTGTCTTATATCTCAAACTTTTCCAATAGTCTACCTTGAAGTAAATTTACTAAATATAAAATAAACCTTGTATCACTATAGATAGTACTATAGGCTATTATTTATAAATAAATACAATTACTATGCTATGTGACCACACCATGTGACTTCCAGTGGGTTTAAAGGGCTCTAACTTGCAGTTTTCCATCATGGCTAGTCTTTCCAGATATTGAGACACGCGAGGCATCTTGAATGTGTTTACACAGGAAGATCTGACTCTGCTGTTTCCCACACTGACAGCAGGGACAGCAGGCAATAAAAAGTAAAACCCGAGTGTCTTCACCAGTTACTTTTCTTGTGGTTAAGACAGAGGACATGACAGACAATGACTCACAGGAGATGTTTGTCTTGGCTCACAGTTCAGGGAATGCTGTCTATCGCGCTGGGAGAGGGCACGGCGGGAGCTTGGGCACAGCCTGCTCAACTTTTGAGTTTGCAAAAGCAGGTCAGGCTGGAAACAGACATGACCTTTAAGAATCCTCCACAGCAATCCACTTTCACTTCCCCCAGCTAAACCCCACCTCCTAATTTTTTTTTTTTTAAGACAAGCTCTCATGTAGCTCAGGCTAGCCTCAAAAAAATTTTTTTTTTTTTTACTATTTGGTGGAGGTTGGCCTTGAACTCTTAATCTTTCTGTCTTTACCTCTCAGGTGCTGGGACTAGAGGCAAATATCACCATGCCTGGCCTCCTGCTACCCCTAAAATTTTATGCTGACATTTTAAATCCTGAGCCTGGCTGTATTAAAAGATAAGCCCTTCAAGGAATTAAAGCTAGACAAAGTTTCAAGAGTAGGGCTCTGCACCAATAGGACCCGTGTTATAAAGCGATCCCACACAGTGCACGTGCACTCTGCAGCAAGAGATTGCAGAGGGATGGTAGACATGTGTGCCTTCTCTCTGAGCCCCCAATCACCTCACTAATGACTGTACACACTAAGAAAAGGCCGGATGAAGACACAGCTGTAACAGTGACAACTACAAACCCGGAGAGGGCCCTCACCAGATGTAAACAGCCGCTTCCAGGAAACACACTGCTGCCACTCACACTGCCGCTCTATGCTGTTCTTGTAGCTTAGATGACCAGTGAGGGCTAGAGAAGCCTTGGGCTAGAGAAGCATGCGTGTGTGGCAGGGCAGTGGTATCTGCAGACAGGAGTCTTCACCACTACACTTTGGGAAGGGTTCTGATGCCGGGGCTCACAAAAGCCAGTACTCAAGAAATCTAGCACAAAAGTGAATAAAGCAAAAGCTGGGAGCCCTGGGGACAGCTCAGAGGGGGCTTTCTGTAGGAAGTGCCCCAAGGCTTCTCTTCAACACGAAATCTCAGGGATGAGGGAGGAAAACTGAACCTAGGAACAACCTCTGGGCATTTGTTTGGGACGAAGACAGACGAGATTTTTAATTAAATAGAAACCTTTCTGTTTGCAATTTTTACTCAAAGCCATTCTTAATGTCTTCATCATTTAAAATGGTGAGAGTTGCTATCTGAAGCTACCCTTCCATTTGAGAGTGAGGAGCTTCACGCTCCTAGACGCTGCCTGGCTCTCTACTTCATACGGTTCAGGGCTAGCACACTGACTGGCATGACGTCAGTGGACAAGCCAGTTCTGAAGCTGTGTGGATGCACACTTAGGAAAGTGAGCCCACCGGCAAGAGCCATAGGACGGGAGGCGGCCAGCTTTATTTTCTTTGAAAGCACTGATAGGGAGTTCAGAAGCATATGGAATAATTTTAGAGTTGCATTCCTATCTTTCTAGAGTCAAACAAAGCTTTTAAAAATATACCTGCAACCTTAAAATAGGAACAGCAAGCATGACTGCTGGGGTGTTTACCCTCAGTCTTGGCCGAAGAAGATTGCAAACCAGAGACTAGAAATTCTCTCGTCTAAGGCTGGGCGAGGGCTGAGTTGTTAAAGCTCCTGCTGTGTAATTATGAGGACCCAAGAGCAGAGCACAGTAGCATGCAGAGTGGACAGAGTGACATGCTACACATGTAACTCTGTGCTTCAGGCTCAGAGACCCCCGCCTCAAACAGTAAGGGGGCAGCAGCTGAGGAAGACGGTCACTGTCAACTTCTGGTCTGAACACACAGACCTACAAAAGTACTCCCTCCCGAAACAAATGCAAAGAATGAGTAAGAAATGGACACAGAAGGGAGACTTTGCAGTTGACTCAGACACTACATCTATCTTCTGTGCAATCTCCCTGCTAGGATGTTCCTGGAAACCAAAGCGGAACGAAATAAGAGGTGAGGTGGGGGTGGGGGTGGGGGGCATCGAGACTGAGGTAGCATCAGCTATAGTGTCCACGGAGGAGTTCTAAGATTTCAATGTTGGGAAACAAACAACATAAGGAACCCTGGCTGGCATCCTACAAACACTTTTAGGAACTGGGAAAAGAGACAGCTGGTTAAAAACCAGAACCGTGTCTCTATGATGGTCTAATTAAAGAGAGCACAGCAGAACCGGGTGAATGCCTTTAATCTTAGCACTTGGCAGGACAGAGGCAGGTAGATCTCTGAATCTGAGGCCAGCCTAGTCTACAGAGTGAGTTCCAGAACAGCCAGGGCCACACAAAGAAACCCAGTCTCGAACTCACCCCTCTCAAAAACAGCAGAGCTAAGCCAGGCATAGCGGGTCCCGAGGCTGGACAGCACATTCAAGGTGTGCCTGGGCAGAAGAGTGAGCTGAGGTCCAACTGAACAACCAACTGAGTTTGTGTATCAACATAAAAAGCACTAGGAAAGCTGCAGCTGCCTAGCATGAGGCCTTGTTCAGCTCTGAACACCACACGGAGTGTGGTGGTCATGACAAGGTCATCTCATGCGCAGAGCCACATGGCCTACATGCTTGGAATGTCTTCCTAAGTTAAAGTGAGGAGCTGAGAAACTGTTACACTCTCAGCCTGGAGGTGGAACCGGAACTGTAGCTTTCACATTAGGCATGATTGTGGCTAATCTTCATTGTGAACGTGATGAGATTTAGAATACACACCTCTGGGTATTACTGGGATAGCTTTCCCAGGAGGAGGAAAAGACCTATGCTGAGTGTAAATGGACCATTCTGTGGCCTGGGCCCTGGATGAAAAACAAGATGGAGCCAAATGGAATACCACAAAATGGAGCACCACCAAGTGGAGCACCACCATTCACCTTTCTGCTACAGGCCATGGACACGCCCACTTCCATGCCTTCCTCACCACGGTGGACCAGGATCCCTAATAAACCCTCCCTTCCTTCAGTTGCTATTGTTAGGATTGGTCACAGACTGACAATAGGGAAAGCAAATATACCAGGCTATCAAAGAAGGCATCTTAGCCTCTTCCTCTGTTGCTGTGATAACATACTCTGGAAAGGGTTTATTCTGGTCCCCAGTTCAAGGGTACAGTCCATGACGGGGAAGCCAATGCATGGGAACCTGAAACACTGGACACAATGTATTCACCATCAGGAATGTAGGCTCTTCTCCAGCTCCTGCTCTTCATTTGCATTGTCTAGACACTCACCCAACCATGGTGGCCCCATCTTTCCATTTCTATTAACACAAGATAATCTCCCAAAGGCATGTCTGGAGGCCTGTCTCCCAGGTTTACATTTTTGTCAAATTGACAACACTAACCATCACAGACAGGTAGTATCAAATAGCAAATCATTCTAGACTTTTTATGTTTACCAAGAAAAAAGTTTCCTAGAGAAAATGGTTCACAATTATCTGACGGCCACATAGGTGGATCAATGTTTGTGTCACAAATAAAACTAACAAGAGAATGTCCAAGGTCACCCTTTGAGAGTAGACAGGGGCCACCACTGTTCAGTGGCTTTTGAAATTATTCCATATTTATGCTAGTGCTTAAAACCTTAACCCAAGAGTATTTTCTGGAAAGGCCTACTTCCCGAGCCATGTCGGCTGGGGGCCGTGTTGGCTGGGGCCGTTCACTGACCCCTTTTATGGGGTTTGGTAAATATGCATGGGCAGAGGATGACATAGTTTACCCAGTTACTCAGAAGTTCCACAGGAGGCTTTTACACTTGCTGGGAACCCTTGACTTGCCAGGGCTGGGTAAGGTAGGGAAGAGAAAATAAGTTAACATCTCCTTTTGTGAACCTCAGGAGTCACGCCCCTGTGAGCATAGCGACTACAAAGGGAGGTCTCTTGGCATTCTGTGAAAACTATAGAAGACCCAGCAAGTTTTTAAATGAACTGTTAGGAGCCAAATTAATTGATGGTGATTTATCAGAATCACTTAATACATTGAGTCAATTTTTATTTACTACCTAAATAACTGCTGCATATTTTAGCATTCATTTAACTTTCAAATTATCCATCACATATGGATTTCTCAGGCTTTGAAAGAAAACTGTGATTTCAATTTATTTAATTTTTAGATTTTCAAACAGCATACTTCCAAGACAATACATCAAACTAATAAAATGTATGAATTTATAATGCTAAACACCAGCTTTTCTGAAAGAGGTGTGAATCAAGCTACTAATTCAACCATCTTTTGGACACATAACTACAGCGCCAACACAAAATACATTTCCAGCATCAAGAGCCGAGAGTTTCTCCCAGGTTTCCAAAATATCAGTCAAACCATCTTTTCCCAGCTGCAGCCACCTGAATCACAAGGTGCCTTGCAGGTAAATCTGTGTCACTTAGAAATATATATGTGGTACTGGAGAGATGGCCGAGCCAGTAAGAGCACTGCTTGCTCTTCCAGAGGACCTGGGTTTGACGTCCAGCACCCACACAGCAGCTCACAGCTGTCTGTAACTCCAGTTCCAGGGATCTAATGTCCTCTTCTAGTCTCCACGCACAGAAATACAAGTAAGCAAAACACTTATACACATAAAAAATTTTTAAAAATCTGTTAAAAAAATGTAGAAGCATATGCCTTTGGAATGTAGATGGATGGGGAACACCTGTAATATCGGCATGTGGGCACGGGAGGATCAGCAGTTCAAAGGTCATCCTAGACTATGGAGAATCTAAACCACTTGAGATACTACCTCAAGAAAGAAAAGAATCAAAATGTAGTAGCGTTTGGGCACAGACTTCATCTTTTTCATGTCTGTTTCAAAGTTTGTTCCCTAAGTGTACGTTTGACATGGCTCACCTTGCCATACACTGCGTACTTACCGGAACGCCCGTGAAAGTGACTGGAGGAGACTGCCAAGAAATGCTGAAACTGCTGCCATTGGGGGTGAACTTAGCAGATCCTGGAATAGTTACCGGGGGCGTGGCCTGAGACAGGAAGCAGAGAAAGCTGTAAGAGTGATTGGGCTAGTCTCTGTGGGCGTGGCCTGAGAGACAGGAAGCAGAGAAAGCTGTTTGAAAGAGCAACTGTCTACAGCATCTGAGTTCTCATTTCTAAAGCTGGGCTGTTGGAACATACAGGGCTACTCTGGTTACATATGCTAACAAGTAGTGAGTAAACAGGGTCAAAGAGAGGAGCCCGAGAGAAGCCTTTCATATAAGCAATCTATCTGAGGTGGATTTTTTTTTTTTTGGTTTTTTTTTTTTTTTTTTTTTTGGTTTTTCAAGACAGGGTTTCTCTGTATAGCTCTGGCTGTCCTGGAACTCACTCTGTAGACCAGGCTGGCCTCCAACTCTCAAACTCAGAAATCCGCCTGCCTCTGCCTCCCAAGTGCTGGGATTAAAGGCGTGCACCACCACTGCCCAGCTTGAGGTAGATTTTTGGATGTCAGTTACTAAAAATTAATCACATATACCTGTTTTTGGACATATGTTAAAATATGACTACCATATTAGGAAATAAGCAATACATTTAAAAATGGGTACATCTAAGATATAAATATTTTTGGAATGCAATTAGTGATATACAATTCTCATTGTTTTGCCCATTAGACATCTCACATCTAAGGTCGTTTCTAAGAAAATGTTTACAATACGGTCACTACACAGCGTGTATTATGAACACACTTAAAGACTTGGCCTATGAGATAGCTTAGCAGGGAAAGGAGGCTGGAGACAAGCCAGAGGCGGAGTTCAATCCCTACGACCAGAGAGGAAGGGTTTTTCCTACCTTTACGTATACAATGTATCAAGTGTATGCACATATACAAGTACATAGACACAAAATATAAATGCAAGAAAAAATTTAAAACCTTAAAGTTGAGCAAATAAACACAGCTGAGATGACAAGACTCAAGTCTGTAAAGTATTTTTCCTTTCCAGGCTTAGATTTTTTTGTTTTTGTATGTTTGTTTTTAATTACAAATATTTCAGCTATTTGCACTGGTTTTGCACCTGGCCTCCAGAGTGACCAAGAGTATGGCCCTGGGCCACCAGACCCGTTTTGTTGTTGGTTTGGTATTAGAGACTTGGTCATATATACCTCAAGCTGCCCTTAAAACTTCATAGCCTAGCCCTGGCCTCAGATTCATGATTCTTTTGCCTCAGCCTCTTTAGTGCTGGGATTATAGTCAGGGGCCACCACTTACGGCTTGAGATCCTGGCTAAGAGGAAAAATAGAAAAACCAACCGAGTTGTTGGCTGCCACGTGTTGCTGTTTTTTATCGTGTCAACTGGCAGTCCCAGGCCTGCCAGCTACTGCTTTTGAGCAAGGTCTTTAGCACGCACCTGGTAAGCATGGTCGGTGTGTACAAGGTAGAGGGTGGTGGGGGCGGAGCGGCTCAGCGGCGTCGCCAGCTTAGGGTCTGTTTTGGCACAAGAAGTTTCTGTTCGGCTGGAGTCTGGGATGGGAAATGAAGGGGGTGAAGCCAGGGACTGGGAGGGCGAACCCGGGGCCACACTGTTCAGGCCTTCAGCCACTGCATCGGTGTTGAGCTTGATCTCCGTGTAGTAGAAGTCTTCTTCGCCATCACTGCAGTCAGACTCCCCAGCTCGCCTAGGGCAGGAGAGAGCAGAGCAGATGCGCGATCTGTCTCCTGCCTCCAGCTTGCACAGACCATTCTCTCCACTCGGAATAACCTCCTCTCTGTCGGCCTGGCAACTTTATGTTACCCTGCAACGCTCAACCACCCTATCTGAAGAAGGTTTCCGTCAGCTTCTGCTCATGTTTAAATGTACCCCCCACCAGCATTGTTAGCCAGTAACTTAGTTTCCAAATTCTTACATTAATGGTACTTGGGAAGAGAGTCTTTGAAAAACAACCAGAATTAGGAGAGGTCAAGAGTATTGACGTAGGGAGGCAGGCACGATGCCATGCAGATGGGCCGCTACATTGGCACAAGTGGTTCTGAAAGGAAAACCAGTTAATGGTGTTGGTTTGTCTGACCATATCAGATGTAGTGAGGTCACCCACAACAGATGCTGGGGAGATGTCTGCACTATTGTCATAGTGCAGCAGGACCCAGCATCCAGAACCATGAGCCAAATAAACTACCATGCATGCCTTTAACTTCCACGGCATCCAGTACTATACCACAGCAACAAAAACTCAAGCAGTAAGACTTCTTAAAGTAGTCTATCTACCACGCACCCATCTACCTACCTACCTATCATTTATTTACTAATCTGAGAATAATTTAAGGAGAATACATTACATATAAATGAGAACAAGTCAAAGACTATGCCTTGATGGTAACTTTTGTTTTTATGGTTTTTTTCTCTGTGTGTTTTTGTTATTTGTTTTGTTTTTGGTTTTGTGAGACAGGGTTTCTCGATGTAGCGCTGGCTGTCCTGGAACTTGCTCTGTAGACCAGGCTAGTCTGGAGCTCAGAGATCCACTTGCCTCTGCCTCCTGAGTGTGACACCACCATCCAGCTCGATGGAACTTTTATAGTCTAGAGGCAGACAAGAAAACCCTAATAAACAACCACTTAGTATATGAGGCTTTAAGTCCCAGGCTAAGCAATATTTGAGAGTCCTTAAGAGACAGATCCATGGTTGGGAGTAGTATTGACTTTTACATAGGATGCTTAGAAGAAGTGACGGGTAAGCATTCACCTGCATGCTGAGGCTCTGGGGGAAAGCAGAACCTGCAGGAGGTGGGGTTGGTGCCTTTGCTGAGAAATGTACCTCATAGGCCCCTGTATCTGAACACTTGCTCCCCATCTGGAGGTGCTGTTTGGAGAGGTTCTATAACTGTTAGGAAGCACAGCTTTGTTGGAGGAAGTCTACCACTGGGGTGGTCTGTGAGGGTTTATAGCCTCAACCACTTCCTGCTTGCTCTCTCTGCTCCTGCTCCCGCCACCTGCTACCATGCTTTCTTCTCCATTATGGACTCTAGCCCTCTGGGACTGTTAGCCAATATAAACTCTCCCTTCTGAAAGTTGCTTTGGTCACAGTGTTTCATCACAGTAACAGGAAAGTAGCTCATATGCCAGGGCTGGGCCTCTGGAATGAAGGCTGAGGTGTGATCAGGCAGGGTTTGGCTGCCCTTGATGATAGCTTCAGTTTTTATTCTGGAGGTCACAAAAGTCCCTGGGAAGTTTAGGAGATGGACATTATTTTGAAACGCTCACTGTGGTTCTTGTGTGAAGTTGAGAAAGTGCAGGAGGCAGGTGCTGCTACCTAGAGTCCTGAAGAACATCAGAGAGACAGGCCAGAGGGACGAGAAATCACAGCCCGGGCATGTCTTAAAGGTGGGCAGCAAGGATCACCCGTTAGGGTTCTGTATTCTTTCAAAGTGCATCTGTCCTTTGAGCTAATGTCTGACTATATTTTTGTAATTTTTTCCCCTTTTCTTTTACAAACATTATTTTTGGTCTCTGTATGTGGTTGTGTGTGTTGGTGTGTGCTAGGGTTTTGGGGGTTCTGGGGACTCAAATTCAGGCCTCATCAACACAGTGGCATTCAAAGTCCAGTAACAGAAAAGTAGTTCCTTTGGTCAGGAGAATGAAATCTTTAGCTGGGTGGAGACTTGACCTCAGAGTCAATTTAGTTGGGCCTGTCAATCACGAACCACCCCCCATGAAGGGACAATCACTCCTAGCAAGGAAGGCTCCCCTCGGCCACATTTAACACATATGGAATAATTATTCCTTTGAACTCTTTTGGGAGTTGGTGGGACACACGGTGTAGTGGGTTGGTCTGATGCTGCCTGTATTCTAATGCTAAAGACTGGCTCTCAAGATCTAGTTGCCCCTAAACAAGTGACGCTATGTGAACCTTGCTCCCCAATTTAACTGGTCAATAAAAGGCTAGAGCCTGTGATAGGGAAATAGAGGGAGAAAGGTGGGACTTGAGGACCGCGTGAGTGGGTGACAAGGAAGAGGGGAGAAGAAGGAAGGAAGGAGGTGGAGGAGGCCACCATGAGAGGAGACGGACCGCGAGCACCTGGCCAGGAAAACCAGGACGTAACAAGAGGATTACAGCTGGGAAGTGAGTTAGAACAGCTCCACACCCGCCCCACCTAGGCTTACAGCTTGTAAATAAAATACCTGGGGTGTGTGGGTAGATAGAAAGATTAATTTTAATTACTATGGTGTATTTCTTTAGCTCTGGCTGTCCTGGAATTCACCTCAAAATCACAGAGTTCCATCTGCCCCTGCTTCCTGAGTGCTGGAATTAAATCATGCTCCACTACATCTACCCTTTAATAAAATACTCTCTTTCTCCTTCCCAGAATTCCCTCATGCCACTGTGAGCTTCGAGTGGGTCTGCCCACTTTTCTGAGTCCCCACTTTTACTCATTTTCTTCTGCTTCCTTCTTTAGCTGCAGAGACTAAGCATGATTTGGCTCACACTTCACCTTTCTTCCTCTTCCTCTAGAGCCCCAGTCCCCACTAAGTGCTGCCTACAGCCTCGTGGCTGCCCTCCATGCTGACTTAACTCACACAGTGATGTGGTTTCTGTTTGCTTTCTAACCCTTCTTATCTCCATTCTTTCTCTGGGCAGCTGCTGAGGTTTATAGCTTGTCTGTCCTGGGGTCTTTTTAAATTCTAATGAAATTGTCCCCAAGTTTCCATTTGAGTCTGTTTTTAAATTATTCTAATAATGAGATGTAGAACTCAAGACAGGACCTTGATTTCCTAAACCCTCATCACTGAGCCATCTCTGTAGCCTGCTATTGTGGCTCTGAAAGCCTCTTTCTCTTCTCATGACTCTGATCCTCCAGGGCAGTGTCTTCTGTCACTCTCTGTACACTGCACATATAATCACGGGCCCCTGCCAAGCACAGTGTGACTGAGGGTACAGAGGGCTGTGGCTTGGTGGCTGAGACAATACATTCTGGAACTGAATTTTTCAGCCTCAGATAGTTACCTACACTTTCAGGGAGTGTGATTCTGGGAGCCTGCACACGCTCTTGTGGCTTGCCTATACCAGTTTTCAGAGTACTCACTTTCCAAGCACTTCTTTCTGGGTAAGGTAACCCCAGGGCCAAATCCTCCATGGCCCTTTTGTCAAAAGGACCCTTCTGTTGTCTCTGGGGGTGGTGGTGTTCATTCAGAGAGTGACAGCTTTTGAGGTTCTAAGTCATGAATATTAATTACTGTAAAAGTGAATGGACATCTCATTTTACAGACATGATGTCCTCAAGGACTCTGAAGTACAGTCATAGCCCACAGGGACAAAGCCCTTGTGGCGTACTTTACTACTGTAGGAACCAGGAAGAGCCTGAAGCACAGTGTAGTGTGCAGTCTCTGAGGCCAGGTGCATGTGTGGGGCTGTGCTGAGAGGCTTCCGTCAGCTCCAAAGGGGAGGAGGGGTGGGCTGTCTTACCCGAGGTGGATGGCTCGGATGTGCTTCTGGATGCCGGCTGCCGTGTTCAGCACCTTGCCACAGTTTTTCCAAAGGCATTTGAACATCACCTTCATGGAGTTCTACAGGAAGATGAAGAGACAACATCACACAGCAAGCAAAGCCATCCCATCACCTTCTTGTCCCTGCTGCTCCTTATTCTCTGCACTGGAAACAGTAGCCACATGTTGTTGACAACTGAACTCTCCGGTGCGGAGCTGGGTAAGCCCAGGCTACTTCCATTTCTTCATAAATCCTAGCTTTATCGATTGTTTAAATCACATTCACAGTGTCCCCATGGGCACTGGGGCACCCTGACAGTGGTTAAACTAAGCACTTAGTAGGGAGACATGCTGTTCTAAGCACTTGATCCCCAAAGACAGAGTCTGCTAGTGGCTTCCATGTTCCAGAGTTTCATAAAGTCAAGGAGCAAAGCTGGGATCTGCTGCAGAAGCCAGACTTCACCCCAGCATACAGACACACAACACTCTTCAGTGAGGGGTTAGCATTTTCCAAGTGCCTCCTAGTACAGTTACTGAGCCACCATGTGGATGTGTCCTGTCCCCCCATAGTGCTCTCCATCACAAAAATGGTAATGTAGCCACTTACAGATGAGTGAGGCCTCAATGACGTCATAGGCAGGGCCCAGCAGAGCAGCATCAGGGGCAATCACCCATAGATGCTGTCATGGAATTACTGTCACCATGCCCTGGCCTGCATTTTTAAATTTTTGCAGTGCTTGGATGGGACTCAGGGGCTTGGTCATGCTAGACAAGTGCTCTGCCATTGCACTGCAGAACCAGTTCCCCTGGGAGGAAATTTTACTCAGTTTGTATGTCTCCATGTATACACGTACGTGTGTGAGGGGTGGTTTGAATGGGAATGGCTTCCTTAGGATCATAGATTTGAATACTTAGTCACCAGGGACTGGCACTATTTGAGAAGACTCAGGAGGTGTGGGCTTGTTGGACTGGGGGTGGCCTTGCTGGAGGAGGTGTGTCACTGAGACTAGGAATTGAGGTTCCAGAAGCCCATGCCAGGCCCAGTCTGTCTCTGTTTATGGATTAAGATTTAGGACTCTCAGCTATTTCTGCAATACCATGTCTGCCTGTATGCTGCCATTCTCTCTGCGATGATACCAT